TGCCCTGTTGCTGCTGGACATTCTTATAGGTATCGGAAGGATTCAGCAAACTCAAGCGGCTTTTTCTTTCTGCTAGGATGCCTGTAATATAAATAATTAATATCAACAAGTCGGACCTATGCAATTAATATGAAAACTTATTTAGCAAAGCTTATCTATAGTCTAAATATATATGCCATAGCTTTTGGAAGGAATCCCAGAATTCTTAAAAGGGATTTTTTTTTTTTTTTTAAAGGCTAAGCTAGATCTTTCTCAGCATGCCTTGCTTCCTCCTGGGGGAACACAAGGGATGTAAGTCCCTTGCTCTGGTGGCCTTTAAGCAAGCATAAAATCTGACTCACTATCACAATCTGTTCCATGAAGATTCTTCCTCTTCTGCTGCATGGTCTTTGGTGTTAGTAAACGTAATCTTATTCTTTTCTGGGCTGGATTATAATACAAGACTGCAGTTTGAAATTTATTGACGCATCATCATGTAAAAATTAAAATACAGAATGGTGTTAACAGGTATTTTGATGTAAAGATGGAAACACCTGTGTTTATTCTACTATATTGGGGAAAATCTAACTGTAACTATTAATGGATGGTGCTGCCTTTAAAAAAAAAATAAAATCCAAAACAAAGTGGCTTTTTTTCTGCATAACAGAGTCAAGTTTCAGCAGGCTAGAATAAGTATCTCATTGACTATTACAAATCAGTCTCATCAACTACCAATCCTCACAGTGCTATCCTTCCTAAATTGATATTTCAATAGCAGTTGACTCCTGGTATCTACCATCATTAAAACTCAGTTTAAGAAAAAGCTTTGTCTCTATTTCCACATTTCTGAATCCTCTTTTCCTTTCAATCTTTGACAGCTCCATTAACTTTCCAGTTTTCTGGCATTAATCACCTTTCTACCGTTCATTTTAATGCTTTTTCTCCTCAGTAAATCCTGCTTCTGTCCCCCTTAAAAAACAAAACAAAGCACAATGAAAAACAAAAAAAGGGAAAAAGAAAAAAGAAAATACAATGCAAACCTAATGAGTAGGTATTCAGTTCTAGAAACAGGCATCCAGTATTATTTGGGATGTCCTCAGGTGCCCTGCCTGACCTCCAGCTATAGGTCCTCTGTCAGTGTGGATAACCCAGATACCTCAGATATTCAAATGACAGGACACTTAGGTTTAGGCACCAAATCTCACTCTAAGTACCAGCCAGAGCATCTTAACTAGATTATGTGAAAAACATTGTTAAAAAAATTATTAAGGCAACCTCAGTTATCACTATTGTCACGTCAGTATCACCATTACAGATAAAATTCTCATTCAATGACCTCAAAGTTCAGACTATTGAAACAACTGTAGTTTGATGTTACTTCAGAGAGATGGGATTTTGTTTTTCTGTTTCTAACGGCTTTGGATCATCTCTTCTGTAGTACAGTTTCTCATGGGGTTGACAGAGCTTAAAAGAGGTGCTCAAACTGTTTGTGCCAGAGCTATACAGCAGAAAAACACAATTTCCAAATCAACCAAACTGCAATTAATGAATTCTAGAAGAGGACTGATAGAGTATGATGGTGAAGGTCTACGAGTATGAGTCAAAAAGTATCATTTCTTTTTTTGGAAGAGGATAAACAGATTAGGCTAAAACTAGACTGAGTTTGTACGCAGAGGTATTCTTCATGTTGTACTTTTAAAAATTGGTTTAGAAGTATAGGACACTGGGAGATCCTGAAGAATTCCATTAGGAAACACTGTTCAAATTATAACATGGTAGAAGAAAAATAGCATAATCCAAGGAATTTTATTTTTCAAAATGCAGAAGGCATCACTTCAACATTAGAAGACACTCCCACACTAGAGACAATCTATTTTAAAATTTCAGTCCATCTTCAATATCAGACTTTCTCTTCCTGCAGAGAGCTGTAGATCTCTGCCTCTGAATCTGATGCCAGAACACTCTCACCAAACCTAAACCTGCAGACGCACTTGCAGAAGAAAATGGAAATCTTTGCAATTTACTGTACTCATTTAGTGGGATGTTTGACAACTATAAATTGACTAGTCTGAATTTTTTGGTCTATTGTTCCAGATCAGTGAGTGTCCAGAGCATGAGGAAAAGATTGCAGGCAAGGAAACCAATTTTCTTTCTCACAGGTGAATATCCACTCGTCCACACGTTACACATGCAACAAAGCACTACTACAGTCAGGTCAGAATCTGCAAACATCATGCAATTGAAATTAACTTAGGAATGAAAGTGAGAAAACTACTTAATAACTTATTTCTGACATTTTTATTTAAATTGCTTGCATAATTTAGGTCAAAGGATGTTCAAAGGAACGAAATGTCCATCAGGAAGAAGCATGTCAGCCTTCTAGAAGAAACTGCAAGTGTGAAGTGGCTGTGCTACAAATCTCATTCTGCAGTGGACTAAACTCAAGGTTTTAATGCATGCTGTCACAGCTTCATGCAACCCAAAACACCCTCCATACATTCTTAGTACGTCCCATTGTGGTAGTGATTCACTGAAAGATTCAACAGTTACAAGGTTCACAAATATTTGAGTCCCCTTTCCCCAGCCCACAAATCCAGGATGGATTGTAAAAGACATTCCATCCTCTAAGCATAATTTCGCATTATAAAGGGACTGAAAAGAAAAATATAAGCAAAGAATTCAGATTTTTATTTCTATGAAGTAGCTTTTAACAAGCTAAGAAATAACTGTTAGAGTTTGCAGGGCTTAGCTGAAAGGCCATTAGCATCCCTTCAGTGAAATTATAACAATGCAGATTATGGCGGGGGCAAGCGGAATGTGTAAGAATAATAATTGAATAAAATAAGATCTCACTCTCTCAGAAAAAAAAAAGAAAGCAACACACGCTCAGATAAATAACTCTTAAGGTCAAAAGACTAAACCTGGAGGTAAGATTTAAAATCTTATGTAAGCTTCCCAGGAGAAGCTGAATAATCAGATGAAAGGCTAGATATATTTTAAGATAGAAGTGCTATATACTACGGAAACTCACTCTCCAAATATTTCTGCATGTTGTGATATTATGAAGATTATGAAATATTTGTGAGACAAATTTATATTTAAGTATTTTCTGGCATTAATAACACTACCAGAACCTCAGCGCATTCTAAAATCAAATTTTCATGTTGATTGTGAATGTCCTGGCAAAGCAAACTGCTGCAGCAAGTAAGGGGACTGTATTTTATTATTAACAGTAGCACAGTCATGATACTTCATCTTTTCTTACATCCACCCATTACAAAATGATGATGATATTTTCTAGTAACTAGAACCGAGTGTATTGAGCCCAGTTAGAACAAAAGGAGCACGATGCCATATGAATACACCCACTGCAGAAGAAGAAACAAGGCTATAATCTGCCACGCTCTTGTGAGCTATTGAAAGCAGAATACAAGACGCACTTTTTGTTCTACTTTGAGCATAAACCTAGATAGGAAAAATTGCTTGGTTGGCAGATGTACAGATTGATATAATATTTCTGCTCTTTCCTTTTTTATTTTTTTTTTCCCTGCTTTGAGCCGCTAAGTTGTGAGTCAATCCATCTGCCTCGAGTGCTCTTTGTCCCCCTGAATGTCAGTGCAGGCCAAGTGAGCGACTCCTGAAGGGGCAGGACCCATCACCAGAGGGACCCTGACCTCAGGGGAGAGGAGACAGGAGGGACAGGCCAGGCTGCCTCCCTGGTGATGGAGCAAAGTCCAGCTCAGCAGATCCACAGAGCTCAGGGAAATTTTTAGAAGTTTTAACTGGTTCCTTGTTTTATTCAATAAAAACAGGTATCTGGACCAAGTGTAAGAGTAGAAAGATTTTTTGACCTTAAATCTTGACCTTAAAGAGTAAAGACAAGTGAACTATATTTTAAATAACTTTTGAAATGAGTTAACTAAGTAGATATTGCCACTTCAAAGAAAGTTAGGTAAGCTTGTCAAAAGACTACAGATTTAGAAATCAATTTGAAGGCAAGATAGCACTGCTTCAAAATCCTTACATGCCTAGCCAAGAAAGCCAAACTGGGGAAACCACTTTACAAGACATCTTTCAAAGTGGAATGGCAAAGGCAGAGAAAATCAGAATAATAGGTATGGGTGCTGTACTGTGAATCTCCAAGAGCATCAGGTACTCAAAGACTTTGAGGAGGTGTCTGTAAACTATTTCATAAACTGTAATCATAACAGCAAGATATATATCACTTAAGGATTTATTCTTACACTTGAGATCAACAAAAAATTGGAGATTTTTTTGTAGGGTTTTTATTAACTTAATGACATGAGCAAGTAGTCTCTAAGAACAAATACATACTTTTAGAATGCAGAAGGTCCTAATTTTCTTAGGCAAAGTTTCACATTTTTTAATTTTCAAGGTACTCAGGAAAAACATTAATTGGATACATATTTTAAGCACATCAGTCAATGAAATGTATTTTCTCTGAATTACACCTCAGGAAACAGTTTCCTTGAACTTTATCATACTCAAAAATAAAACTAGAAGAAAAATTCCAAATTTATTACAAATGAAAGTTAGTGGAAGAGAGATTTTATTAAGAAATTAGAAGACATATTATCAGCAAGGATGTAGGAACAACAGGAAGAACATACTTCTTTTTGGAAGAAGAGGAGGTATGACATGGAGAACTTGTAGGGAAGGTTTTCTGTCTCCTCTTCCTCCTTTTTTAAAAAAAAACAAAAAACACACACAAACCCTCACACTTCCTTTTGCAGTACCTCTTGAATACTACTGGACTGTCAAATAGGATATCATCAATGGATGTGGCAGTGGACATCATGCCAGACCCACTCAAGAAAAAAAGAAAAAAAAAAAAGCGCAATGTACTCTACGAAATTCCACCTCTGAGTGGACAATATATCAGCCCATAAGGCTGGACAAAATGTAGGCACAACTGGAATTATTAATTTGGGAGAAGAGGTTTAGATTAATTATACTTAATATGCCAAAAAAAAAAAGCAATGAAATTAACCAATACTCACATCAGAGTTAAAGCGAAGTTGGCAGACATTACAGGAAATGACTTGTTTCTTCTTTGGGGGAATGGACACTCCAAATGTATGGTTTATGACTGCTTTTTGCACAGGATCCATCTGGAGAACAAACAACAATAAATTTACAACTTTCCAAGCAATGTACAGTACAGAAGAGAAATAAAAAATAATTTTCTGCTGAAAGATTTGTTTTTTCCTTTTTGATATAAACAGGAGGAAATAAAATTTCAGCCCTCATAATAGTTAGATATAACACAGGCTAGGGAACTGGTATCATGCCAGGGCTTATGAAGAAAAGGCAGCTCCATCGCTGCTGCCACCCCCGGCTACAAAATAGTTCCTCCCCCAATCCTGCACATGCTCCATGTTGCAGGGTCCCACCGTTGCATCTGAATTGTAAAGAGTCCCCTATCACCTGCTGATCCAACAGACACCCCACAAGAATCCACTTCTGTCCTGTAACAAATCACTGTAATTTCTCTCTCTTTGCTTTTCTGTTCAGTGACAGATATTAACACTTAACTGGGAAATACTCGTTCAAAAGGAAGACAGAAAAGTTGAAGTTACTGGTTACAAAATTGAACAGTAGATTAGCTGCTTCTAGACTTTCTAAACCTGAGGATAAAGACTGTAACTTTCCCTTAGTATACATTTAAACTTTGAGAGAAGCCTGCACTAATGAGGATTTTCTTCATATGTATGCACATGCACAAATACACAAATCCAAGAAAAACATATTGCATCGTATCTGCCGAAGAACACATTTTCTGATAATCTATTGCCTAATATTAAACACTTACTTAACATTTTTGGGGGACTACAGCTACATAGCTTTCTTGCTACATTCCTTTAAAACCAAATTAATATTTTCGTAAATGTCATTGCTAACAAATTTTCTGTACAGATTATATAAATTTTATCAGCTTTTACCATTAAATAAGGTATTATATTACCATAGGGGTACCATATTAAGACAATTATACAAGTAAAAACACCTCGTCTAGAATGAACTACCAAATTTTTAAATGACAAAGTGTTGTCACAATGAATGTGATAAAGTCTAAAAAAAACCCTAAAATATCCTTATTTCCTGTCTGCTCTCCTTCTAGAACATAGTGACAGTTCAAAGTTTAAAAGCTTGAAATACAACAACAAAAAAAAATACCTGTTTCACACTTGTACCACTTACTGCATCACCTTGCACAATACATCACAATTATATATACAGGTTAAAAGTTTCTTGAGCATCCATTTTATAACAGATATGCCAGTCAATATATATTATTACATTTATAATATGTATAAAAAGATTGCTGTATCATTAGAGAATAGTTTGTTTTTTTCTTAAACGGAAGATATGTTTTGCTTTTCAACTTAAGTTCTAATTGTTAGACCAGGTAATCTAGAACAAAAAAGTAATGCTGAAAAGTACCTCAACCATTTGCGAGAGTCTGAAATCGGTGAAAAGAAACAGCAAAAATACTCACTAGCGTCTGCAGTCTCGATTAAAAAAAAGAAAAAGATAAAAAAGAAGCAGGGATCAACGCTTCCCCTGTGCATTCCAGGTAACAATCCACAGCACTAGTGTTAGGCAATGCAGGTCAAAACCGTACGGTGCAGCCTATACACAAAGTCCCAGTTTCAAACAGATGTAGCAGCAGCACAAGGACAAAATCTACACAAATAACACAGCTCACGTTGCCTCCAGAAAGTACCATTTGGGATCCCCAGGGGAGCAGTTAATGATCCTTCCCAAACCGGAGCCCCGCATGTAGTCTGGTCATGATTAGAATTCAAGAAGTGCAACATTAACAATTAATAGGTTTTAAATATATCAGATAGTGGGGTGGATTACAGCATGCTGGAAAAATAAAATGGTATCTGTCTGTTAGAAGATTAATGCTGCAGGGTAAACCGATCTCCGATCACTACGTGGAATTATTCTCTTTATTGCAAAGAGGGAGGGACAGAGGGAACTAATTTGTTGAGGTGTATACAAGGAAATGACACAGCATAGTTTGCCCAGTGGGGAGCACCAGTATTTAAAAGCCAGTTCTATAAAATAAAATAATAACAGAAACTAATAGCTATCACAAACGCAAATAAAAATCTACAGTCTACTGCTTACGCTACAAGAGGAATTAACAAAGCACTTCACAGTGTTCTGGTAGCCATAACTAAGTTTAATAACCTTTTAGTCTTTTTCTCCTACTGCAATTTCCAACAAAGTTGACAATACTATCTTTCTGCAACAAGTCTTAAAATCACCAAAACTACAGAAGTAACAAAGGATTAAAAGCATCTGGGCAGGTTTCAGCAGTAATCTTCTATTACTATTTTTCAATTTCAGAACATGCAAACATGAGAAATACTCTGTAACTACTGAGACAGGGGAAAATCACTTCCAAAGCACTTAAAAAATGCAAATGTAGCAACAGATGATCCAAAAGCATAGAAGAATTGCTAAACTCTACTGAAGCTCCAACTAGCCTATTGCTTTATCTTCCAAAACAATCATATGCAGTTACCAAGAACAGAACAGGAAGAGCATAAACATACAGCATATTTCCCCCAACTACTTGCACAACGTTCATATATTGTTCCACCAAAATTTTTTCAGAGTCAGGTGTTTTCTGTGTCCTTCCTTATCCTAGTGACTTTATCTTACACAGTCACCCTTTGAAATGATATAAACCAATTTGCACTCTTTGCATTGAGTTCCAAAGCCTACAGTCTGCTGCACCAAGAAACAATTCTTTTTCTTTAAATGTAGCTCCATGCAACTCAATTTTATAAGAATTGTACCACACTCCAAGTTATCTCTGCATTCCTCCATCATTCTGTGCATGGAAACCATTCCATTGCTTTGAAAAGCCATGTCACTCTTCTCAATTGTACAAATCCAATAAAATATTTTGAAGACAAATACCAGAACTAGTATATAATACTCAGGGCGGATCCATACTGAACTATGAGCTAAGGTTTGCATGGAATCACTATTACAAACATGAAATCTCACACTCAAATGTTAATGGCCAATACATAGCACATTACTTTCTATACGAAATTTTGTGAAGTTTTCCTGTATGTCATGGTACCAGAGATTCTTCTGGTGCCTTCAGAGAACCAAACAGATGCTACGAGACATTAAAGTAAGCATAGGAAGAAGAAAAAATAAATTGAGCAAGTGCATCAGGACAATTCCTTCAGTGAAACTGGTGTTCTGGTTATTTTAAGAGATCTCTTTACACATGACAAACAGTACAAATGCTGATTTGTGAGCCTCAGAAATTAATTGCACTCATCCTGTCAAGAGGTAAGTTGCTACAAACAGAAAGGTTAGGTATAATTTCTAACTCTTTTGTTTAAATGAGGTGATGCTACATTGCAAGAAAAGCTGTTTTTTTGTGACACTGAGAATCCAGAATATTTGTATTAGTTTTTGCTAAAGGTGCAATCTCTATTTTAAAAGTTTGGATAAACTCAGTTTCCTCTCCGATTAAACCTTTTGGTGCTTGTCTAGTATCCAAGGCTAAATGGCTGGTTACACATCTGAGCAAGTGATAGTGCACTGACTTACTTTTGCCATTTCTACCTAATGACCTAATTTCTAAGCTTTCCTTCTCTTCCTGATCTGCTTAGCTATTGAAGCCTGTTAAGCATCATACATGCTATTGCTACCAATTCAGAAGCTATGTCTTCTCATAATAGCAGCATAATCTTAAATCTAAGTAAGGTTTAAAACTGTGACCAAATTTACACCCTCAGTTCAGTTACCTCTCACTGTGATGTAACTCCTGGGTCAAATCTAGAGCTGTCTGTTAGACAAGCATTTGTAAACAGAATAGCGGTAAGTGAGTAGAAGGGATTTCACTGAGTATCACTTAACCACTAGGCATTAAGAAGCTTCTGAAAAAACACGAGAGTGGCCCTGTGGCATTCTGTGTTGTTTTACTGTAATAAAACAAAATTTTAAACCTTATGTGGAACAAACTGATAATATAATCCAATGTCTCCCTCAGGCAATCGAAGGAAGAAAGCAGTGGCATATATAAATTACCAATGCAGAAGCAGTGTCTAAATTAAGTTCTGGGATTTTTTAAAACTGCTGGACAAAACTTCTTTTTTGTGTGCCATTATTAATATTTATTTCTATAGAATAATAAGGGTTGGAAAAGACCTCTAAGATTATCTAGTCCAACCGTCAACTCAACACTATCATGATCCTGAAGCGCCACGTCTACACATTTTGTGAACACCTCCAGGGATCGCAACTCCACCACTTCCCTGGGCAGCCCCTTCAAATGCCTCACTACTCTTTCAACAAAGAATTTTTTCCTATTTGTTATGATGATGTAAGTAGGCAAACAGATGTAGATCAGACCTTTTCAACATCCTCCTAGATCACCAGGCCTGTGTCTCAGCTCCAGCTGTCACGAAAGTCAAGCACACTATCACGGTGGAGAATGATCATGCGCTGAAAATTATAAATTCCATCATACATACACAGACTCCTACCCTAACTGTATATATTAAGATGACTAACGTAATGGTAGTGAATACATATACTCAACAGACCGCATCTTCAAAATAGGCAGCATGAAGTCAGAAACATTGTGATGCAATATTTGGCACAATTGGCAAATGTAAACTGGAAAGAATCTATTTTCTCTACATTCATGCTGCTCATGTCCCAACATGTATCATCTCTCGTTTGGCTAATGATAAGTGTAATTTATTGTTCAAATCAGTGCTATGCAGTTATAGATTTCCTTGCTTATTTTGCATCACCAGGCACGTCAGAGTCAGCTCCATGGATGAAGGTCTACCTGAAAGGAGGCTGTCACAAGGTGGGTGTCAGTCTTTTCCCAAGTAATCACAGAATCACAGAATTGTTGAGGCTGGAAAAGACCTCTGAGATCATCAAGTTCAGCCTATGACTCAACACCAGTAAATTACAGGACAAGAGGAAATGGCCTCAAGCTACACCAGGGTAGGTTTAGATTGGACATCAGGAAAAAGTTCTTCACTGGAAGGGTTATCAAGCACTGGAACAGGCTGCCCAGTGAAATGGTTGAGTCGTCATCCCTGGAGGTATT